AGCAAACTGTAAAAAAGGCAATTTGAAAGTGATATTTTAGAATTCTTATACAACAAAATAAAATCTTATTTGATTTCTTAAAGTTGTATATAAGCAGATACGCTAAATAGATATACAATGAAATCTTAAGGAAAACAGACAAAAGTGAAATTTAGGGAGAAAGAAATGGACAAACAATGATGGAACAATAACGAGGAACTAAGATGCATAACCTAGTAACTATTCAATATGGTTATACATCTCTGATCTTAAGTACGCTAAAGGCGTTTTGTATCTCGGATATATCTTTGAACTGATTTAAAGATTGATACATTGAAATCATGAGGCAACGTAGTGGTACCGAAAAGAATGACATTGATGGAAGGATTGCATAACTGGGAAATAGTCCTTATTAGTTCAGGTCGTATGTTAGTATATTAAGAGCATTCAAGAAAGTAGTACAGAAAGGTGAGTCGGTAATGCTTAAGACTGTAAGCTGCTAAAATACACAGTAACTTTAATGCTTTTAGTTAAAATGGTCTGCGTCTTTCATGTCTTAAACTGCGGTCTCACTTATTCCAGGCAGAGCCCAGTACCACCGGTAATTGACTGGGATGATCTGAGACAATCCGTGGTGAAATTATTGTTGTGGTCACGCTTACCCCGGCAGCACTACGGTAATTCCAAACTAACCACCGGTTTATGCCGGTGCTTTCCCGGTCGTTCCTGGATGACGCCGTTAGAGCCGCAGTTGACCAAGGCAGAGCCCCGGTCATCCGGGCAAAGCTCCGGCAAAGCCTAGCACGATCCCGACAAAGCCCCGGTGGATTTAAAACGCGCAAAATGATAACGTTGATACATTATTTTCATTTAATATAATATCTTTTGTTCTAGAACAGTAATTCATGATGATTTTCTGAATAATCCTTATGCAAGACTGGACAGAAGGGAAATGGGGAAGGGTTTTAAAACGTGCCTCCAGATTCATACTAATTTGTATGAAAATTTGAAAATGTATTTAACAGTATGATATTTTAAGTTACCAAAAGAATGCAGTTTACACATTATCCAAGGCACTTACAACCTATGTAAGTTAGTATAAAGAGGTCTAAATATGCAAAAATAGCCCTTACTGCGTAAGTAACGCAGTAGAAATATAGTTACAAATATTGGAAAATTCGGTCATTAATCGCACATAATGCTGCCCTCACACATAAACCACGACCTTACTGCGACCTGAAAACTAGTAAAATAGCATTTTTCTTTCGAAAATCGTTGGTTTTCTTTCAAATTTCCAAATTTCTCTCGCAGACGGTCCGGGGCTCTGCAGTCTTGTGTTCAGTACGTTTTCTCTATGTCCTCAATACGACCCTTCTACGTCCATGGCGTTTCCACTGCGACTGTATTGCGTCCCCAAGGCGACCCCACGGCGATCATCGGCGACCCAGCTGCGACTGTGCTATGTTCTCTGCGTCCTTACGGCGACTCTACGACGACTATTGCGTTTGTCCGGCGACTGTCCTGCGACTGTACGACGACCCTACTACGTTCTTACTACGTCTATAAAAAACAATACTTTTTACCAGTAAATTTCATTCTGAGTCTGACCTTCAACGAGTGAAGACGTATATTTAATAAGTATTAAGTTAAATCATCCATATTATTCCAAAGATGAGAGGCGGACGAGGCAAAAGAGCGAGGGTCTCTAAAGTGCTACAAGTTGACCCAGTCGCCGCTTCAGATATGCAGTTTGGTAGTGGTTCACAGTGTGTAGAAATCGCGGCTTCATCCACTGGCGGAGACGCATACAAACAGTCTTCTAGTGGTCCACAGTCTGTTGAAACAGCGGCACCGCTATCAGACCAAGTCTCCGAGTCGGACACTCAATCTACCAGTGGTGAACAGTGTTACAGTTCTTCAAAGGCCAATAAGTCCAGGTTGATGATGAGAAGTGACCTCACAGCTGAAGATGAAGAATCCATGGTCGAGTGGTTGAGAGAAAACCCACAAATTTACAACAAAAAGCTATCCACCTACAAGGATAAAGGCCGGAAGTCAAACTTCATGCTAGCGTAAAGGTCGCCAGAAGCCAGATGACGCAGAGTTACTGCCAGCTTTGTCCCCGGATCGATAGCTTTCCTCCAGCGCGTATCCTGCTTTGTGATATGTGGGCGAAGTCTAGACAACAGTTCATCAAACATTTGTGGTGGGAGACGAAAGAAGTTGTGGAATGATGCAGGATCTTCCAGCCTAAGCTCAGGTACAAGACGGCTGTAGTGGCCGAACAGTTCTCTCCGTACTTCCCCTAGCCATGGCCTCACCCAATATCGTCTCCGCCTGGCCCTTCTCCTTTGTCTAAGCACACTTAAAACAAGCTGATGGTCAATATCATGTTGCTCATGAACAAGAATCATGTATTGAGCCAGTATTACATTATCCATTTTCACACACCGATGTTAAAGCACTGACTGCTGAAAGCGAACTGAAATTCTAGATTTTTAAGCAAAAGTCTAATGAAAATGGTAATCGTATTAGGGTCGCACTAGAAACGCAGTGCAGCCGTACAAAGGTCGCCATAGTCGCAGTACAATCGCCGTAGAGTCGCAATGGACGCAGATGGGATGCACTAAGGACGTAGTAAGATCGCAGAATTTTTCTTCTTATTTTCTGTTCTAACAGCACTGAAGTCGCACCAAGAACGCCAAGGATGTAGTAAGGACGTGGTAAGGACGCAATAGTCGCAGTAAGGACGCAGTAGCGTCGCCAAAGATTTCCGAGCAATTTCTTGTAATTTCATCGGTGACTCTACGGCGTCCTTAGTACGAGTGTACTACGTCTATTGCGTTCTTATTGCGTCCTTACTACGATGCTGCTGCGACTATGGCGACTCCACTGCGATCCCACGGCGACCTAACCAGGACTCAGCAAGAACGCAGAGTTTCTGCGACTGTTTTGTGCATGTTCAAAACAGTCGCCGACGGTCTGCGACCTTGTGCGTCCTTGGGTTCCTCGCTACGACCTCGCTGCGTCCCTGCTGCGTCCATGGCGACTGTGCTGCGTCCTGGGTCGTAGCAAGGTCGCAGTAAGGACGCAGTAAGGTCGCGAGGTATGTGTGAGGGCAGTATAACATGTAAATTATTACTAGAATTAAGAATCATTATACCTTTCCTAAAATCTTAGTACGTTTTTCTCAGGTTTGATATTTTTGCTCATCTGGAGGCGTGCAGCTTTAATACAAACAAGTGCAATCGTCGCAAAGTATCGTGATTCTTTTGAAATGAACCGGGCTTTGTCGGGGCTTTACAGGGATCAACAGTAGCTCCACCCTCATCCCCCCGGGGGGCTCCCCGGGGAATCCTCCTTTGGAACGGGTCGTTTTTTCCCCGGGGCTCTGTTGGATTCATCGGGGATCTTTTCGTAGCTCAAAAGGGTATATCATCCCTTTGGGGCCCACCCCCGGTTTTGGGCCCCGGGCAGGGCAAACGGTTTCCATTTTTAAACACCGGTCCGGTCTTCCCCAGGCACAGAAAGGGATGACCCGGAAAAACCCTTATATTTTCCTTTTTCAGCAGGGGTGATATTATTAATTTTTTTATTCCCCCCTTTGCAAGGAAATCCCGGATGTTCTCGTTTTCACCCAAAACGGCCATCAAAATTACGGATGTACTCCGGTTGTTCCCGGACCAACCCGGATATCTTCCGGGGCTCTGCCGGGATGTAAGTGAGACTGCAGCTTTAAATACATTTTGTATAACAATTATTTCACTCATTTTATGGATATGCATAATGCACTTTAATCAAAGCAGTTAGACAACTGTTATATCTCAAACAAAATTTTATTTGATGTCGTCACAGACACGTAATAGAAAGAGCACCGAAACACGAGGCTATCTGATTTGTACGAGGGGGGCGTAGCTCCCGAGTATTAATCAGATTGCCGAGTGTTTTGGTGTTCTTTCTCTTTTGTATCATAGTCAAACATAAAAGCACGTTCCCTGTTGTCACAATATGAAACCCCGGCAAAAATGAACCAATGAACGAACATCTGAATATGACATTTCTGTCGCTTTCCCTTTCTCTGCCGTCACAATATGAAAACCCCCAAGAAAAAAAATGAGCAATCAATGGAAAGTTCTGGAGTGCGGTTAACTAAACCCGCACTCCAGTTAACGACTGTGAGGTATTTTGTATACAAATTTAACCCTGACACTTTTCAATAGGAAGGTCCCCAAAACCCTTTGAAAACAAGAATATTTGGGCTTATGGGAAACTTTTTAATCAAGTTTTTTAAAACCCCCCGTGGAAAATTTCTTCAATATCAAAAAACACAAAAATAAAAAGGGAAAAAACCCTGGTCACTCCCAATTTAATGATAAATTTTTCTGTATATTTTTTTAAAACTTTTTTTTAATTTTTTCAAAAAAGTATAAAGGTCTTTAAAAAGGTAAAAAACTTTTCACTTTGACCAATTTGGCCCCTTTTACACAAAACCCTAATTTTCACCCCTTTCCCCCAGCCCTGCGATCCGCCAGTCTGCAGGATCCATGCTGTTCGCTATCAGTTTCTTTACTTGTAATAGGGTTGTAAGCGATCCTGATCAGACAGCGCGGATGGACTGGTCTGGATCCATGCTGGTCGCAAACTCATTATGTTGGTTTTGTCGTGTCGCGGCTCATTTAGTCTGTTGTAATTTATTGACATTTTCTGATAGTCATATAGCTGGACATAGAAAAATGTATAATTTAACCAAAACTTTAAAACAGATTGCTCCATTTGCAATGCTGATCTTATTTGTTAAAATATGTATCTACTCGTTGTTTGATGCTCGGAGGTAAATATATATTATGTAATATTACAAAATAGGTGAGGAAAAAATTGATTTATTTCAGAACTTTGTGTTGCTTATGCAAAGCTTAATTTTATGTATCAATTAAAATCTTTGTAAGTCAAAGATATATTTGTTTGGTACATTTTATCTTTCATACTGTAACTATCAACACTCATATAATTTCGTTCTGTACCTGATGCGTTACGTAACCCAATGCTGAGTCTAAACATTATTCCATCTGTCAACCTGAAAGCTAGAAAGGTCTCATAGCCTGTGACGTTCTGGTAATTTGTCATATCAATGCGAAGTTCTGTATGACTTTGGTCAGCTAGTTCTTGTATGTACTTCAGGCCTATGGTAAGTAAACCAGTGGAACATAAATTACTGTAAATACAACCTCTGCGGAACTATCGCGATAATATCGAGAGTTCCAAAGTGTCAAGATGAAATTTAAAACTACATGTAAACCGAAAGAAACAAAACTTAAAAAGAAACAAAACAATCATATTTTGACACACACAAAAACCCTTACAGATATGCAAACTGATTCATTTGATACATGGCGATTTTTTTATATAAATAAATTGGGCTGTTTATCAATGACACCAAATGAGTATTAACAACAGTTTTGTTTTAAATGCAAGGATAAAATGAAATAAGATTAAACATGCTCATAATCTGTATTAAAATATGAGCCGTATTATTTTGTTTTGTCATGGAATCTAGAAGTATTGTTTTCTATTTTATTATATCAATATCTACTACAAACATATCATAATATAGACATAAAACCAAGACAGTGTATCGCTTCGTACCTGTATTAAATGTCACAAATTACCAAATCGTCACAACTGATTTAAAATAAAACTGAAACATTAACAAACAAGGATATCTTGACACGCAAGATGATTTCCAGATTACTTTGAAAACGTGAAGCATCTATACGTATTTTAGTCACAGGCACGAGTATCGGACCTGGGATGAAAAAATATGACCAGATTGATAATAAAGCCTGTGTTCATCTTAAAAGTGTCAAAAAAACAAAAACAAAATGTAAAAAATGACCCCCTTTAAAATATACTATAAGTTAAGAGAAGGCCGGAAACTCCAGATTCGAGCCTACGAGCATGGGATTCATTTCCCGAGCCGTTGTGAAAACAATTGGCCGGACAATTAAAAACGACTTTTATCACTATTTCACGTTTGTATTAAGCTTCCAAATGAGACCGACACCAAGTCTCTAGCCCTTCCCGTTCATGAAATATCTATCAGGAAACGAGCGAATTCGTGCTAAAAATCCTTGGTAGACAGAATTACGGCACAACGATTCGGTACGTAAACATAGACTAATACATGTTTGTCAGCTGAGTACGGGTCAAAATCACTTGAATTTACTAAATAATATTACTAAATACATTAAGTTGGACCACTCACAACCGTCAGTAGCATCTGATACACACGAGATTCGAGTTTCAAACATTTACAAGGTCTTTCAATCTCTTCCTACGCCATTATGCATCCTTGTGTGAAACGTTGCGGTTTCGTTGCTATTGGCCAATCAGAAGACTCGTTACAAAATATCGAACAGCTGATTGACAATGGCGTTGAAAGGAATCTAAATACCGTGGAAAGGTTTGAAATTCGAATTTAACGTGTATTAGATGCTACTGACGGGTGTGAGTGGTCCAACTTAATGTATTTAGTAATATTATTTAGTAAATTCAAGTGATTTTGACCCATACTCAGCTGACAAACATGTATTAGTCTATGTTTACGTACCGAATCGCTGTGCCGCAATTCTGTCTACCAAGGATTTTTAGCACGAAATTCGCTCGATTCTGATAGATTTCATGAACGGGAAGGGCTAGAGACTTGGGGGATCGGTCTCATTTGGAAGCTTAATACAAACGTGAAATTATGATAAATATCGTTTTTAATTGTCCGGCCAATTGTTTTCACAACGGCTCGGGAAAATGAATTCCCTTGCTCGTAGGCTCGAATCTGGAGTTTCCGGCCTTCTCTTAACTTATAGTATATTTTAAAGGGGGTCATTTTTTACAATTTTTTTTTGGTTTTTGACACTTCTAAGATGAACACAGGTTTTATTATCAATCTGGTCATGTTTTTTTCATCCCAGGTCCAATACTCGTGCCTGTGATTTTAGTAGATGAATGCTAGATCAAACAATAATTGTATTACACTTATTCACATCATAAATGTACAAGCTATATAAAAAAACAATTCATTTTTGTTTATAATAACATACATCGTTTACTTTAGCAAATAATTTCACTTATCTAAACTGTATATACTAAAGTGAACCATAAATCAAACCTAGCCACAGTTCTTCTCCCGTGTTTCCAAACCCATTTTCATACTCTGTGAAGTTTCGATAAAAGTCAACAGACCCGTCAAATCGCCTATGAAATATCTACAAAGAGTTCAACGAAATTGACACTACGTAGTTTAAATTGATAAATGATTCAGGAAGATGTATCAAGTCACATCACAACTCCAAGTTTTATCTTGTACCCTATATATGAGACGGAAACACGGATATTTCATAGAACTATTGAACCCCTTAGTAATCATTTTTGATGTTCAGATTTCACGTATTTACAACACTTGGCTTGTCTTGCATCGAGAGAGTAGACAAGTTTCTTCTAACACTAGTGTTAACAGTAGATAATCATGTCTTATATGCAAGAACGGCATGTGATGTATTAATATCATGTATATTTTTCAAAACTGTAAGATAGGACTAAACTTAAACTTTAAGACTTAAATATAAAGACAATTTATGTTGTTTTTAGTTTTGCGCTATTCGTAATATATGCCTGTGCGTTTTAACTTTCTGTGAAAAAAAATTGAAGTCTATAGCGATGTACATCTTTAAACAAATACATTTATTTATATATATACATGTACGTATTCTAGTTAGCATGACGGAAAGTGTTTCGGTTCAATTATTTATTTACAAGATGTTAAAATTCGAAAAGATTAGGAATTTCAACCTGAAACACATATTTATAAACCTGAGCATCATAGTTTGCGCAAAACAGAAAACAAAAGAAAATAACTATAAACCCCCGATATTTGCTGGACAAAGTTTACATTAATTCAACACTTTACATACCGTCCAGCCGCCACCGTCAGTTTCCATGTCACAATTCACAATCAGTGTCTTGTTAGAACTCCATAGTTTTATCTCATAAAAACCACTTTCTGCTTCCGGGTATTCATCAAGAATTTCTTTACAGTCGCTCACTAAGCAATAATGATATGAAAATAAACAAATCTAATTTCTAATGAATTAATCGGGTTATCAATAATAAACTAAGCAACGAACATTGAATTAGTGACAAATCCCTTGCTTTCATTATTTGAGAAAAAAAACGCACGATTTACTGAGGAATGAAACGATAAATTTTGCGAGTATTAAATATTATTGCAATAAACACATTCACATGCACACGCTAAACATTTTGTTTTCAATTTATTGCAAAACATTGGTTATTTACATTTTTGTTCATTCCACGAATAATATTTGTTTGATCTCAAAATATCTTTAACAATATTAGTTATTAAAGAAATAACTTTACCATAATTTGCTGTTTAATTTAAGGGCCTAGAAGGTTTAAGGTAATTTAGTATTTGATTTGAACGGAAGTACAAATACAACTATCACAGTTTGATTCTTCTATATGATAAATCATTTCACATTCATCACAATTTTCTTCAGGTAAAATTTGACTTATTCCTTTCCGTTTAACCAATTCCTTCGCAGCCATTTTACGCTTGCGTAAAACCTCACTTGTATTCCTTTTACAGATTTATAAATTTTGTTTTGTGACGTTTTTCATTTTGATGTTGTATTGTTTTTCAACCATTGTTTGTAAATCTCTGTGTGTGTCCAACGAAATCATAACTAAACCTTCTAGTTATGGCAGCTGAGTATTTTGTTTCGGATTTTTTCTTTAATTCTGTTTGTATATCTTATCTTAATGTATGCCATTTTGCTTAACCACTCCCCAGAAATAATCATAACCATATGAAAAAATGTAATGTTAAACGTTTCGATATATCTTCATATTTACAGTCAATCATACACTTTATATATGAACAGTATAGAAAATGCCTCGAGAGCATTGAAACAAAAAAGCAAATATAATAGCACAAAATCGGTTATATTTTGTCTTTTTGGTAGAGATAATGAAATTTATTGTACATTCTAACACGACTCGCATTTTTCCCTATTGAACATAGAAGAACTGAAAGTGTGTGTTATTATGCTATAAAATCACTGTTTGACGTTCTATATTTATACATGTGACGTAATCATTATACACGTGACGTAACCACTAAAAATGTGACGCGCTGACAATAAGTACGGAAACAAATCAGACGCAATTTAGCTAAATATCAGATACGGCAGCATTTATTTGTTGATGTCGTGTTAGAATCGAAATAATAATTATATATCCAAATCGGTGATTTTATTGCTTGATAACATCACTGTTTGTCGTTCGGATGCGCATCATTATATCACTCGGGCTACGCCCTCGTGATATAATTCCTCTCATCCGAACTCCAAACAGTGATGTTATTGAGCGATAAAATCACAGTTTGGGATATATTATTTCTTAATTAATAAATAAAATATCAAGAAATATTCATTGAAAAAAAGCGTATTTTCTTTTTCCGTATTTCTACTGTTAAAATTCTTTCTGTATATAAAACAACATCAACAACAACAATCAAACAACAACAACAAAAATATACACACAAAACAGCACATTCTCGATAGAGCAAATCGTTAAAAACACCATATTTGATTCCGTTGCGGATTCGATTTTCTACAAGTTTGGATGTCTTCTTTGCCCAATCTGGGGACCAAAGCCCTAACCCAAACATTATTTCCGGAGAATACCGAGTGGAATGATCAGTTCTGACTGGCGATTTGTTCTGACTGTACGAGGTATTATTAATAAGTTCTCGGCCCAATATACCTTTATCCACTACACTGACATTTACACACGATTAATCGATAACGATATCTTATTGAAGATTACTGACCGAGTGACACCACGCGGTTTTACACGGATTAAGTAACGTAAAACACACTTTGGTCAGTAGAGGGGTGCGTCATTAAGTAACATAAAACACACTTTGGTCAGTAGAGGCGTGTGTCATTAAGTAACATAAAACAAACTTTGGTCAGTAGAGGGGTGTGTCATTAAGTAACATAAAACACACTTTGGTCAGTAGAGGGGTGTGACATTAAATAACATAAAACACACTTTGGTCAGTAGAGGGGTGTGTCATTAAGTAACATAAAACACACTTTGGTCAGTAGAGGGGTGTGCCATTAAGTAACATAAAATACACTTTGGTCACTAGAGGAATTTGGCATTAAGTAACATAAAACACACTTTGGTCAGTAGAGGGGTGTGTCATTTAGACCAAATGGAGAAAGTTGAGATCAGAGCCGCCATTAAGTACCTCTGTAAGAAAGGGATGTCCCCCAAGGAAACCAATGAAGACTTCATGGATACACTTGGGAAGGAGTCCCCTTCCTACAGCACTGTGAACAAAATGGGCTGCTGAATTTAAGAGGGCGGGGAGAGAATTGGAGATGATGAGCGGTCTAAGAGGCCAAAAGAGGCCACCAACGATGAAACTGTCGAAGCTGTGCACGATCTGGTCATGCACGACGGAAGGCGAGATCTGCGAAGCATTGCTAGGGAAGTGGGTATACGCTTTGGTTCAGTTCAGGGAATTCTGACTGATGTCTATGGCATGTCAAAGGTTTCTACTAGATGGGTCCCCAGAAAGTTGACTGGCGACCAGAAACGGACCAGGCCTGACATTTCAATATATCTTTTTTTTCTCGCTACGACGATGAACCTGATTTTATCTAGCGGATCGTAACTCAGGATGAAACATGGGTTTATCACTTCGATCCAGATTTAAAACAAAAAAAACTGAGCATGCAGTGGAAGCACCCTGGCTCACGCCCTCCGAAGATATTGAAGAGGGTGCCATCAGCAGGGAAGATGACGGCTTCAGTTGTTTGGGATATTCAGAAAATAATTATGATTGACTTGAGCAAGGTCGTACCATAAACGGTACATACTATGCTGACGAATTGAGACGTCTGCGTCAAGAAATCGCGCGTAAAGGAGTGACAAACTGACTTAAGGCGTTCATCTCCTGCACGGCAATGCGCCAGCTCACACATCCCAAGTTGCGATGGCTGCTGCAACAGACTGCGGCTTTGAAATTCTTCCGAATCCCCCATATTCTTCGGACTTGTTCCCATCTGACTTCTACCTATTTTCGAAACTGAAAACCAAGCTTCATTGTAGACGCTTTGGAAGCAATGAAGGTGTCATGGAGGCGGTCAATAAGTTCTTTGAGGACCAAAATATACAGTTCTATTTTGAAGGGTTAAACAAGTTTGAGCACAGGTGGGCAAAGCGCATTGATGTAGAGGGTAATTTTATTGAAAAGTAAGACCATTAGTTGGGTTATCTGACTATCGGAAGTACATCGGGCCAAGAACTTTTTGATCAATCCTCCTAAGTAAAATGCAATTATACAGTTTTTTATATCATTTCTATATTTGCTCTAAAGCACCATATAAGTGAGCGAGACGTTAAACCACCATTTGTCTGATTCCGTTGCAGAATCGATGTTGTACAAGCTTGGACACCAAAGGAAGAACGAAGCCCTATCCAAAACAATATCGGGACATTTTCGTGTGGCATGGTAGTTTTTCGTATAGGCTATTTTTCTGTATATAAAGTGTAGACAATAATTATTTTCAAGGAAACATAATTTTTCGAGACAATATTAAAAATACAGCATTTGATTGATTATTTCTGTATATAAACTTTATAAAGTATATAAATGTAAAAAAAAATCACATTTTCGAATTAACCCCGTACTAGTTTGGTGGGTCTTCCATGCACAATAAGAGGACAAAACCTCTGTAACTAACAATAGAATTCTGCATTGTTTGGTTGTTTGATTTTTTTGTACCGGCCAATTGTTCTTTCTTTATATAAACTGTAAACTGTAAATTTGTTTAAAAGAAACAAGAAACAAAAAATTATTAATTTCTGATTTAAAAAAAAACAACAACAACATTGACCGGTTCCGTTGCAGATTCCATTTTGTACTAGTTTTGAAGGTCTTCCTTACACAATATGAAGACCAAAACCCAAACACAAACAATTTGTCCGGGAGATTTCTGGGTGGCATGGTCGTTTATATGTTATATAAAGTGTATAATTTTTTGTTTAAAAAATATACCATATTCTTGAGCCAACTGGTAAAACACTATTTGTCTGATTTCGTTGTGGATTCGATTTTGTACATGTTTAGAGAGTTTTCTGTGAATATGTGGACCAAAGGCCTATCCCAAACAACCAGTTGTCCGGTCGATTTCCGCGAGGCATGTTTTTTGTTGATTTTTTTTTTGTTGGTGTTTTTTTTTTGTTTTTTTTTTTAACTAGCAATTAGAATTTAGCAATAGACAGTAAAGGTGTAATAATTTTATTTTTCTCTCTTTTTTTAAATACAATTGACAAATGAAGCTGTACAAAACACAACAGATAAACAGAAGAAAATCAATTCAATCAAACTTCACCTACCTACACGTTTCTGTGGTCTGATGGCATGCTTTATTGTTGGTGCAGTCTCAACATACCAAATCCTAAACTCCTGGCATCCAATACATTCATGACTGTCCGGTTTGAATAAGCTAACGAGACAGCTGTGTTGCGTGAAACAAATCTTGCTGCATTCCATCAGATGTTGAACGGTAGCAGAGAAAAGAATCATGTTTGACTTGCAGATAAGTGGTAAACTTGGACGTATAAAGTCGTATTTCTTCCAGTGAACGATAGTCGACGATATTATATGAAGTACAAACAATAAAGTCGAGATTAATATCACAATCTTTGATTTAAATTTCATTTTATCCAATTATTTTTGTGGACAAAATATAACTGTTATAACAGAAGAATCCTAGTGTGTCTAGACACATATGTTCAGCGACAATTCAGCAACTGAACTAATGGTGAGTAAATTATCTCTTTTTATGGTTTAATTAATTTCAAAGACAAGAAATGTAAATAATATATTAAATTATTCTTTGAGGGTTTTATTTCAAAGACAAATATTATATAATTTATAAAACACATAACGGTCGTTCGTTTAAAGTGTGTACACTGATTTAATACAGTGGAAGCAGTTACATGCCTGGTTTCTGAGAAGACTTTGTTCTCCATTCTATATGCCCCTGGAGTTTCCATTTTAGCAAATGTACTAGTATATACGTCATACATTGGTTCAAGGTAGTCAGAAAGTTACATTTATTCTCAAGTTAATGACAAAAATATTAAAATGATCTTATATTCTCAAATCACGCTAAATGACATTTTTTAAAAGTCCCAGCATGATTTTTTGTATACATTTTATATAATTTACGTTTGAAACGTAAATATAATTATACATATTGGACAAGATTAAGACGTCGACAGTCTAAAACAAGTCATGTAACTTGAACAAACTCTGGGAGCTACAATAGCAGATATTGTGGATATTGTATGATTGAATCAAGTCTAAGTCTTTCATTTGACATTTTCTTTAACGTGTCTAGAGTTCCCTGTGACAACTATAGACCTTTTACGACGCGGTCCGTTGCTATGAAAAATCTACCGGAATTAGAATTTCCTCACGCATGCGCAATCTGCGTAGGGCAGAAAATGCTTCACTCTACATAGAAATATAGTAGTTAGTTCAAGGTAAACGGTAGAAAATTATATAAAATAGCTTTCAACAAGTATAGAAAAGATGACTTTATATCTTTGTGGCGAAGAATGCCATAAAAGGGCAGGGAAAAGATACTTGTTTAAGAATTAATCATGGACCTGACACTGAGATCATTTAATAAAGAAGATGCGGAAATATATCTACATGTATAAACAAATGAAAAGTCAACTTATTTGCTGTTGAAATAGTTCATTTAAAAACAAAAGAAATAATATAACATGAAATCGAGATTAATTATCATTCAGAAAAAATATCAGAACAGGTGATGCATTTTTAGTGTCCAATATATACCTGATTCTATCCTTGATCCGATTTGCCTGTGATGCAAACAGAAAAAATTAAGGCATACAAATAGATTTTAAATTTTTTTTTTCAAAATCTTGAGAAGTTAAGATGGGTTGTTTGGAAAAGATATAACACACATTTTATCTGCTAATGTTATTTTTAATAATGCACCTCACCCAATTTTTCTCTTCTCAAAATCCATAAACATTGATCGGTATATTTAAAAGTTACATAAATTACCATTTTGATAAGAGTATCAACAACAACAACAACAACATAAACTTTATTTAGCTCAAGCAATGATTACAAGCATGTGAGCATACAGCGAATAATACATTTGAACAAAAATACCTTGTGAGGTCACGTGACAGATTGTTTGCTTAACGGGGTTGACAATAGTGATAGTGTGTTACTTCATTTATTTTTTTGAAAAGGACTATAAATTCTTGTCTGGGAATGTTCCATTTTCGGATATTGGATGGCTGAAACTAATTTAATAATCTACGCTTTTTAATAGTTATGTGAATTTTGAACATTATTAACACCATTTTATATTGTTTTTAAAAGAAACAGAGTTTATTCGGATCAGATCAACTATATCATGATATTTAAACGTCCAGGTTGAATGAACAAACATTCGGGTGTCAATCTGTTTGACACTTGCTGCCTGACCAATCCAGTTATTCAAAGGAAGTGTACAATACAAATAGTGTAATATTATGTAATACAGGGGTAATAAAATGTTATCTTTAACACCCTGCTGTTTCAATTCAAATTACTGATGGAAAAGTAGTCTTATGATACCTTAAACAAAGACATGTGTGTGCCCGTTTTGACCATTGAATTTTTACTCCCGCACATTTTCGTAGATCTTTTAAAAAATAAATTCACGTTTTCAGTACTTACCCCGCCTTAAATCATCCCAAAATTAATATTTTTTGGGGTAACATAACATGAAATCGCATCTATTAAAGCCTTTAAGTATGATAAACTGTAGACATCGTTATTGCTTTCTGCCCTACGCAGAATGCGCATGCGCGAAATGCAACATTCGTTGCTATGTAAAATGGTATTGTAAAACGGTCTATTGTGAAATCTTAACGCTCTAACCTGACTCGCGTGTGTCTAGTTAGGAAACCGCCATGAGAAGAAAAGTTTTGTTCCTGTGACTACTAAGTGCGTTTATTTTGAGGACATTTACAGAATAATGAATAAAAAAAATCAAAACGAAGAAATGAAAATTTTGCCGGTGTCTCCCTTTATGTGTTCTACAAACATGGCGAATATAGACGTTACAGAAAATGTTTGTGTTACAGACGTCAAAACACGTCGATAGAAAACAAAATGTTTTGACTGCGAACTGTATTTTACGGAGCCCCTAAGGTGACATTTTCCACACTTTTTTTCCCGGAACTTAATTCGTTTTTACGAAATAATAATTCGTAATTACGAAATATTAATTCGTTTTTACGAAATATTAATTCGTTTCTACGAAATATTAATTCGTAATTACGAAATATTAATTCGTTTTTACGAAATATTAATTCGTTTTTACGAAATATTAATTCGTAATTACGAAATATGAATTCGTTTTTACGAAATATTAATTCGTTTTTATGAAATATTAATTCGTTTTGACGAAATATTATTTCGTAATTACGAAATATTAATTCGTAAAAACGAAATGTTATTTCGTAATTACGAAATAATAATTCGTAAATACGAAATAATAATTCGTAAAAACGAAATGTTATTTCGTAATTACGAAATAATAATTCGTAAATACGAAATAATAATTCGTAAAAACGATTTTTTTCTAGGGTGTAAAAGAGTTTTGGTAATATTTATAAAGAAGGACTTAACACTAAGTTCCTGACTAAATAGAAGGCATGTTAAAGCAATATAAATAGTGATTTTTTCTCTCCCAAAGTTTTACAACTTAACACTTATGTACACTTAAATTAAAATAATCGGCTGTCAATAGCGTTGCCGCCACAGCCGTGGGAAAATTTTTGTTAAAATGGGGGTTCTGTGCTTCAAATCCATCGTTCTGTCAATGAGTTTTGAAATCAAATATTATGTTTTTTATGATCACATAACTTGTAAAGAAATATACTTTTTTAAATTGATTAGATCAGTGAAAATCTGGAGCCCCCCCCCCTTTAGTTTAACTAATGTATATGATAAAAGAAAGTAATAATATAGCATGTTTCTTTAAACATGTTTCTTTTTAAAGAAACATGCCAGAAACAATTAATAACCTCAAAAATTAAAACATTGCTGATGGGAACATGTATTTCACAATGGGGAAAAAGAGTACATATTTCGTAAAAACGAATTATTATTTCGTAATTACGAAATAACATTTCGTTTTTACGAATTAATATTTCGTAATAACGAATTAATATTTCGTAATTACGAAATAATATTTCGTAAAAACGAATTAATATTTCGTAATTACGAATTAATATTTCGTAATTACGAATTAATATTTCGTAAAAACGAATTAATATTTCGTAAAAACGAATTATTATTTCGTAATTACGAAATAACATTTCGTTTTTACGAATTAATATTTCGTTATTACGAAATAATATTTCGTAAAAACGAATTATTATTTCGTAATTACGAATTAATATTTCGTAATTACGAAATAATATTTCGTAAAAACGAATTAAATGTCGGGGAAAAAGTGTCGAAAATGTCACCTTAGGGGCTCCGTAGTATTTAGTTTGGGTTGTCATAAATTGAATATCATATTCGTAACGATTTAATACTATATTAATTATACTCGTTGAAAATAAAAAAAACATATCATGCTCGTCCGAAGTTTGCATAATAAAATTTCATTAAACTTGTTCAATTAATTCGGTACGGAACCTACACTTACTCTGTATCTTAAATATATGGTACATGTTTGTCACTTTAATTTGATTATCTTAGTGAAAATCCACATAAAGTAATGTTGTATTTTAAAAAAATCTTCCCGCTACCCATGTAATGTTTAAAATATTCAAAATTTTAATTTCAATATAATATAGTTGACGAAATATATAAATATGCAAACGAATTTTAACTATTTGATGTATGTATTGTTATTTTCTAATTCTCGACAGAATAAATAATGTCTGCGTTGCTTGGTATGCACGCGCCAGATGGCGTATGATTTGTTAAGCTGCCCTAAGCGATTTCCAGCTTCCCTTGCTATTTCTAACAAATGTTTAAAAGATCAAAGAGTTTAGTCGATTTGAGAGAGAAAAAAATAAAAATAGCTTCAAATATGTAGTATGGAACATAAACTTTATGTTAAAAAAACGAACAGCACATAAATATGAAAATACTTCTTTATAAAAACGTCTCGTATGTGCATATATATATATTGTATTCGACAAAAGAATTACGGTTAATCAGTAAGTTGCAGGCTCTTGGCTCGTTTCTATTCCCCCGGGGAAGACGAAAACTTGCTGGGTGCTGAGGTGCTTTTTTAACTTGCTAAAAGAAAGTCAAAGCCTGTTGTCCCACGCTCTACATTTCTATTCACACTGTAATACCAAGATTTTATACAAAAGTTCCATCTTTAAATCAGCCCACTCAACGTCGTTTAAATAACGTTTACAAAATTTAGAAAATATGTTTTATGATAAGCATTATATATTTGTGTGAAGATTGCGACATTATATTTTTCAAAAACGCGCACACAAAAAAATATATAAATCCTTGTTAGAAATATTAAAATATCATTTCTATTTTGTCGTTATCATTTTTTGTATATTAATTTTATTAGCATATGCAAGAATTTTTCATAACGTTTAATAAATGCATGTTAACGATAAAAATACGTTAAAAAGTTAAGTATTTTGAATAAGATCACACACAGATCACACACAGATCTGGTTAAATAGGAATTAATTTATGCAACTTGCACAGACACTATCAAGGTCATATGTCAACATTTTACCATAACTGTTAAGACCCCGGGTGCCCCCTTCGAGAATAATTTCAGGCAAAAGCTGCCACCAACCTTCCGTCAAATAGCAGAATAGCTTCAATGTGAACCACAGCGGCATCAAGCTTGGTTTTGACTTTAGCATAAATATAAAAAATACAACCAACTTACGATTTTTGTTCATGTGTGGCACGGCAGTTGAAAAGTGTAGCGCATCATGAGATAACATGCCGTATAATAAACCTCAAATATTACAGTTATAAACATTAAACAATTCATTGTCCCTGTATTTCCACGTGATGTTTCACAGACCATACATCTTTCTCTTAGTCAACAGAGTTCTTTAATCTCGAGAAAATTTCTAATTAACTTGTTTACATCAAATATAGCCGTGAATGTTTTATTAGGG